GTTGAAATTAGTTGCGGTCCAAAATGGAAATGGCCAAATTGGAATTGCAATAGTTTTATGGCAAAAAACGCACAAAAACAAAGCGAGAGGAAACAATAAAATTGATGAATCGCATAATACGGGTAAGGTTGTGGACTTTATGGGGGGAAAACATTCTGTGGCCAAGTTCGGTTTCGGTTGGGTAAACTTTTCCAGGAGATTTTTATCGGTGGCAGATGAATCTGGGTTAGGTAAACAGCAAGAGCACTGTCCTATATTAAATTGGAAATAAAATAAGAACCCATCATTTAATAAGCTTTTGGTATTTAAAGGTAAAATCAGTTGAATTTAACAAGGCATATATTTCGATTTTACTTATTAACATTTATACCCATCCAGTTTTTATAAAAAATATTTTAAATAATTTAATGCTTCCTAAAAAATTCAAAGTATTCTATAAATTTTTGTTAGGTACACCTTTACGCATCTTAATCGTCTTGAATATATTTATGTACATCTGGTGACTGTCAACATCCTGCCCATCGAAACTACCCATCAACGCATGGTCATAAAATTTGAGCACCCAACTGGACGACTCCTCCCTATGATAAAGGTGGTACCCGATTGGTTATTGGGACCCAGAGCTTTAATTTAACCGCAGGCTGAGCAGTGGACTCCATAACAACTTCGGCCTACACCCAATCCCACATGGAGCCCCTGCCATAGGAGAGGTCTTCCTGGGCAACTTGGGTGCACCATATGTGTTGAGTGATAAAGAACATGTTAATGGCTTTTAATCAATTTTCCATTTTTCTTTTTTCATATATATATTTTCCTTTTTTTTCATTTTGCTGTGGCTCACTGGGCTGTGATGTAATATGTAATGCGAAATTGATATTGCTGTGACGGGGCGGAAGGAAACTTTGGGGGAATGGGGAACTTTCCACGAGATTTTCTACATATTTTAATGATAGTTTAATTTGCGGCAATTAAAACGGTCTACACCAGTCGACTCTACCAGCGATTACGTAATCAGTGAGAGAAGACAACAACAAGTAGAGCCACCAGAAGAAGCTCTTCTCGGCGGGTCTTGCATAATGATCAATCTTCGCGGCAGTGCTGTTGGTATAACTATTTTATTTATTTTAGTTTTATGTCCAAAATTTTAAAAAAATATATTCCTAAGCATATTATTTTGTTTTTATTAGAACTTGTTTTGTATTATATTTTTATTGTGAACTTTTATATATTTAAGTGGGATCAATTGATGTTTGATATGCTTATATATAAATAGTCAGCTATAGCTTAGTTGGCATCACAGCTCCTCTTCCACCGAATCCCGAGTGATTTCCGCTGCTGGCTTGCGCTTTGGCTTCCTGACTTGGCATCGATCTCGAGCCCACCTGGCTGGGTTGGGATGGTATGGGATGGCCCCAGATGACTCTGGCTAAGACCCCGACTCCAACCAGTTATCTGGGAGCTAGCATCTTGGCAGCCATCCATGGCATTCGAAAGCGTCGAGTTGCGGCGACAGCAACTTGATATGCAGACAAGGAAGACAAAGTGGCAGGATCGTCAATTAATTCGCTAGATGTTGATTGATTTCTAACAGATAAAAAACCCTTGAAACCCTAAGTGTACAAATGAAATGTGAGTCCCCAACCCTGATTTGTGTCGATTTCATCGGTCAAATAAGAATTTTAACATTCACTTTTACACAGGATCCAAAGAACTTCTCAACATCAAAAAATAAAGAAGAATTTGCGTCAGTACTTCGCCTTAGTTCTTGCATATTCCCTCTCTTGATTGATCCATTTATAATTGGCACATAATTATAGTTTCATTAACATGAAAGCCCTGGGCAATAGCCACACTTTCCTCTATCGGTTGCACACTAGATTTCAATCTACGAGATTCTTCAGCGGCTTGTTTGGCCAGTTGCATAATTAGAGTCTGTCGTGTTTGGGGTGTGTTCGCCCAAATTGTCGCGTTAATTGATATTAAATGAGCACTTTAAGTATCCTTCCTTGGATGATTGACCACATGAAGGTGATGAACGGGTGCCGTAATGGTCAGGAGATTGGACTAATTTGAGAGGGCTCTTGTAGAATGGCACATGTATAATGTGATGTGAAGAATCAAGACGGCAGAAATGTAGATAATAATATTTTAATGCGAAACTTAATGTCCTTATAGTAGTATCGTAATATAAATATTCAATGATTCCAAAAAGTTTGTTTGAACATGACTTATAAAACCAGGATATATGATTGAAATGGCCTTTGATCATTAAAGTATAGGAATATGTCCTAGTTTAAATTACATTTAAAAAGGTAATTAATAAATACTTTAGTAATAAATAAATAAAAATAAATAATGATTACTGAAAGTATCGTATACTTACAAAATGACTCCAATTTAATCTATAGTATGTGATTTATTTCTGAGTTGTACCTACCTGTTTTATTGTTGTTTCAGTTCAATAAATTTAAACTTTCTAAAGCTAGGCCTGCTATTTTCAATGGGCCGTAATTATCCACCCATTGATCTACAATTTATAGCTTGCCATTCGCTTAATCCCTTTGCAAGTTTAACTTTAAGCGCGGAATTTTAAATCATCGCAACTGTCGCAGCTCATTAAGCATCCGAAGAATTTTTGGACCGCGACAGGGTCTGGAACAGGCCATGGCTTACTTGCTCATAAATTAGCAACAATTTCATTTCGCTATTGGAATTGACGGCCAGCACCGCTGCAAACACCCTTCATCCTCATCCCAGTCCCCATCCCGGTTCCCAAAATGGCACTGGCACCAACTGGGTCCATAAATCAAAAGCAGAGCATGGCGTTTAATACACTTGACGTCAGATTTCCGCGACAATTTGCGCATGAATTAAACATAAAAGCAAGTGAGGTATACACGAGTGGAATGCCCCAGCATCCATCTTTTCTCCCATACTCCTGGGAAGTTATATAGGGCGGTGGGAGGACTTTTTTTTTGGGAGAAAGAAGGTCTACAACAGCACTCAGAAAAAAAAATAAATATTATCATAACAAACATATTCTTAAAAAGCTAAAAATGAGTATTCCTTTATTTTAATGGTACACATTTTATACAACATTTCATCGTATATCTTATTATGTTTAATGGTAGTTAATATGTTAGTTATTATCTTAAAAGTTAACTTTACATTTTGTTTACTTACACTTTAGTCCTAGTCGTGAATTATTTTTTTATCTCAAGGGATTTTTTCCCACATTTTTTATTTTAAAATATTTTTTCTCAGTGCCGTTTCCCTGGCGAGCGGGCAAATAAAATCAAAGTAGGTAACACGCGCAAATAAAACACTTGACACATTAAAACAGCAGCGACGGCCGCACACATGGACGGCCCAAAAGGGGGCCTTGATGTGGGTGCCTGGGGATGGGAATGGGAATTGGGGGGCGAAATGGGCGCTAAGGGGGCGTGGCAATGCCATGAGCAATGCGGCAACAAATTTCCATTTTGTCGCTGAAGCGATGACGACGCCATGCAAATAAGAGACACTCCACAGACCCCCGACTTTGGGGACGAGCGAAATGAGCAGGATATGAGGCTGCATATATCTCGGATATATATGTATAGCCCTCACATATCCACTCACGCATTATGCACGCCCCGACTATGGAGTGTCATACATACAAATTTAACGAGTCGCATTTATGATACCACAGACAAGTATAATAATTTCAATTAACGACACCCACGGGTGTTTTTGTGCCGCTGCAGGTTTATAAGGGATGGGCTGCAGCGGGGGATCCTGTGGCAATTGGGGTTACGGGGTGAAAGGGATAACGGATGTGGGAGAAAGTGTGCAACAGCCTGTGTGATAGGGATGCGGAAGTCACGTTTAAATAACCACCTTCTTAACACTATATCAGTGTTATTGCAACTAGCTAAAGTGGAATGATATTTCTTATAAACTATAAATAGTCTTAGAACTTAACAGGCGTTGCATGCAACACCTAAATAGTTTTTTATGTATTTTTAAAAATGCAATTTAAAGATCTAAATTTCTACCATAAATTCCTTTTTTAAGGAACGTAAGATTATGGTATAAAATGTATATTTTTCTTATATATTATGTCTATAAATATATAAGAACTCCAATTAACTAAATGTTAATTTTATTTATTTTAAATCTAACAGCACAGTTCAGCACAGTGTTCTCTAAACTGTGACTTTGCATCTAGAAATCAACTCAGGTGTGAAAAGTAGCTGTTTATGGCACATTCACCACCACATCAAGGAGCAAGAATACCTCTATAAGGCTTAGGCCTTAAGGGTGTAATGTAGAAGCAACAGTTTATGAAAATATAGCCAAAAAAGATGGGACCAAATGGTATGTGCGTGCCATCTCGGCAGGTGAGCTTCAATAACCTGGATAAAGTGAGTGTGTATCTGCATTATTACGCCGCTAATTAACTAAACGCACATACGTACGTACACCCACGTACACAAGGATATATTTGCCTTGGCCACACTTCTTGGCCAAGTTTTTACAGCCTTCGCCATCTCATCAACATAAAAGTTTTTAATGAGCCATTTTGTTACTGTTGACAACGTTCCCGTTGCCGCATTTCACTTGGAAACGGGGCTAAAACGGGTCGTGGGGGCTTAATTCAAATGGGAGGCGAATTTGTTAGGACACGCTCAGTTGACACATTTTAATTAAATTTAATTAATGCATTCAGCAGCATCCCGCACCCTCGGCAAAAGCCAAAACATAATGCCGCCACAGAATGAATGAACACGAAATCGGGCGCTTGGAATGGCAGAGTGAAAGTGCGGTGAATTTTGTTTTATGATGTGTTACATTTGTCGCCTCAAATGAGATAGGTAGTGTAATTGAAACATGTGTAGGAAAATCGAGCTTAACAAAAAAGTTGAGCTTGTTAATTAGGCTAGTCGAATTGGTAAATACATTTAAAATCAAATAATAATCTATTATTATATAATTTTGGAATTTGTGAGTCCGTCCAAATAATTTATTATAATAGTACATACAAATAAATTAAATATTATTATTGGCAACTTAGTCACTTAGAGCCCAACTGAACTGAGTAATTGAAGTTGGGGTAAAATGTTACCCATCTACTGGCAAACCCAAAGTACCCAAGTCAAATGGGTTTGAAGTATGTTGGGTTTTATTGTGGGCTTGATTTCCACATCAGGCTACCTTCGCTACCTCTAGCACCTATCTAAAGCCTCTTTTCCTTTCTTTCCTCTCTTCGGCAATCTCCTCAAAGACATCTTCCAAAGTTGGCTGCGTTATTGAATAGTCTGCCAGCTGCCAGGCATTGCGATTGCTTTCGACATAATTAAAAATCTGCGACCAGCTGCTGTCTTCTTCGGGTATTTGGAATGTAAGTCTGCCACTAAACTCATACTTTTCTCTAAAACGGAAGGAAAGAAAAGAAATTAATTTGTTATACGATTCGATGAGTTAGCCTTATGGATGAATGGATTTGATATCCAATTTGCTCATATTCTCTACATTGCTCAGACTTTTTGGTCAAACATAAATGGCAAGATTAATGGTGGTATCATAAATGTTGAACAACGTTATTTTCAGGTCTTAAGAGCTCCATACCAAATTGGCTGTTTCTCGAACTTATACATACTTAGTTCTTGCGTTGGGGTAGGCTATCCTTATATCATCCTCAATCTTTGCGAGTGCTTGTGCCATTCTAAAGGAGAAGTTCCCATAAAGTTAAACAAATTCTAAATACTTTGAAAGAGCTTAATACTCACGCCTCGGTCTCTTCATTTACAATTAGCTTGAGAAGCATTCCCTTGGCAATTTTGTTTTTAACGTGCTGGGTCGATCCCATGGCGTAGATACTGCCATCCACCAGGATAACGCTTTTCGTGCATAGGGCATTTATCTCGTCCATGTTGTGGGAGGTGAGCAACACGGCCTTACCCTTGTTGGCCGTCTCGTTGATGATGGTCCAAACATGACGTCGTGAGGCAGGATCCACTCCGGCACTGGGCTCGTCCAAACAAATGAGTGATTTTGCCCTACAGGCAACCGCGGCGTTGATTTTCCGCTTGGTTCCACCACTGTAGTACTTAATCTGAAGATATATAAATACTTTAAGCATTTTTCAGTAAAAAAAATTGTTCTTGTAACTTGACCTTCTTATCCAAGTGCTTGGAAAATCCGAATTGATAGGCCAATTGCTCCGATCTTTCCTTCAACTTCTTGGTTTCAGTGCCTCGCAACAGAAGATAGAATTTCAACAACTGGCGACCAGTGAGAAATTCAAAGGACGAGTCAAACTGAGGACAGTAGCCGAGTTCCTTCATCGCCTTATTACGCTTCATTTTCATGCTATAGCCCGAGATATATATATTACCTCTGTCTATCGAATGTTCGCCTACAATCATTTTAAACGTACTGGTCTTTCCGGCTCCATTCGGCCCGAGTAACCCCACACAATAGTAACTGAATGTTGTAGAAAATAAACAAGGATCTCAAGAGATTCCTCTAGAACGAATGGTAGTACTTACGGTTTAACAGCAAAGGAAATATTATTGACGGCTAGAGGACCGCAGCAATATTTTTTTGATACCTCACTTACAACGAGTGCTCTACTTTCTATTTGCTCAGCATCCATAATCTTTATTTTTTCAGCCTCCCTAGCAACTTTGGAATCGTCACTTAAATTATTCGACTTCCGAGTGCAACAGCCTTTGCATCTGTACCACAAACAGCTGCCGTACTCCAGGAACATTATTAAAATCCAGAAAATAATAGCCCCAACAAGCATGACAATCACCTCAGGCCATATTATTGGATCTGGGGATTGGTTATTTTACTAAGTTTCACTAGGGCTTTAATTATTTTTAAGACTTACGCTCGCACACACATCGCGGAAGATAGAGACTGAAGGGATTGACACAATTCATATTGTGCCTGGCTGCTGCTTTTGGATCTTTAGGTTCTGGCGTTAAAGATGCTGCATTGAAGGACTCGCATAGATGGTCATATTGAAAGCATTTGCCTAGGCAAGAATAACCAGCTATCATAGGATGCAGGTTAGCAATATAAATTATTACATATAAGAGATTAAATTTCAGGGCCAGTCCTCCAAGTATTATAAGAGCGAATATTGCTATGTAAGCTGAAAAACGAAAAGGAACAAATTCATATATTATGTATATATATGCTTGCGTGCAATCTAGCGAAATTGTATGTATCGGGCCTTACCCGCCAGAAGGATCAAAGATATGGCTAAAAATGTGGCCGAAATCGCCAGTGTCAAGAAGTATGTGAATATCAGACCCGCCAGTCCGGTGCAAAAGAGCACGAATAGCAACTTATCCCATGGTGCATATTTATAGAGTGGAAGCAAGAGGGCCAGCGCCAGGATCAGAAAGATCACCATGTCGAAGAGGAGGTGACTCAGCCAGTATGTGATCATGCCCAGGCCGGACACCTCCTGCTGCATCTTCATGTGCGACACTCTCTCCTGGATAATCGCGCTCGCGAACAGGATCATTGCAATGATCACATAGCATAGGACGTATATAGGTATTGATGAAGTGTCGACGGATATTAAATCGGTTTTGAGGCGCTTCTTAAATGGCACGCTTGTTACCTCTATGGTGATATCTGCTCCCAGGTGTTCAAAGGCCATGAGATTGTATATAAGATTAACGGCCATAGGCGCTGCATGAATATAATGTCTGGGACCGACCCATCCGATAATTTTGGTCTCTATGCCGACTGCCATTGGCATAAAGGTAATCTCTCTCAGTCCCTCATTCGTCTTCGAGGCTCTCTCCATGTATTCCTCAATTGGTTCGGATATTACCTTCAATTTGATGTCTTTCCCGATCAAACTCGCAATATGATTCGAAGGTCGTATTCCCACAAATGATTTGTTTATATGTTCGGAGACCAAAATGGTAGCCTGGTCGCCTCCGTAGTCGGCCACATTCACGAACAGTCTGCCAAAATCCTCCGGATTCCTATCCTTCAAAAGCGTCGTCAAGTAGTAAATAATAGGAAGCGACCAAAGCAGCAGGAAGTATACCTTGATACAGTATGGGGATTTAAAAATATATCAATTTTGAAGTCAATCAACGAGTATATCTTATATAAATACTTCCTAAGTTTATAAATATAAAATAGTCTTACCCCTCATTACCTTATTGTCATAGAGAGACAGGCACTTCTTGACCATCATCGCCATCCAGTGCCTTCCACAGTTGCGCTCATTTTCCTCCTGATCCTCATCCTCGTCATCAATATCGTCGTCGTCGTCCTCATTGTCTTTTTTCTCAGCACCTCCAGTCTTCCGAGAGTCAAAGTCCTCCGCCCCGAATGTCATGAAAATCTCCTCCAGACTCACGGAGCTCATGCCGAATCCCCGAACACCTAACTCCTTCATCTGGTTCTCCAAGTCGCGGAATAAAGCGGAAAATGACTTCGACTTGCTGAGCGGCAGCTTGTAGCAAACATCTCGACCTTTGATGCTGAATGGTCTGATTTCACCCACATGACGGGCTATTAAAGCCGACAGCTTATCCACTTCACATCGTTTTCTGGTTTCACAGGTAAGAAGGCAGGTGGCATCCACCATTTTCTTGAGGAACTGCAGTGATCCAATGCAACGCAGTCGACCATCGCTAATGATCACAATGCGATCGCCCAGGACCTCCCCTTCGTCCAAATGGTGGGTGGTCAGCAGGATAGTGCAGCCCTCCTTTGCCTCCAGTATGAGTTTCCACAGCTCCCGCCGGGCGCCGGGATCCAAGCCGGTACTGGGTTCATCACAGATGAGCACCTGATGGAGTTCGAAAAAATATCTAAAAGTTATATTCGTATACCTAAAATATTGTTTTGAAAATCATACAGAAAATGCTAATAATTTAAAGAAAACGATAAAAATTTGTAGCCTTTGTAGGATAAAGTTGGATAGATATAATAACATAGTATGTATATGGAAATTCTTAAATGTCATAAAAATTAATTAAAAGTCAGTGCTGATGCAGTTTATTAAAATGTTGTTTGGACAGAAAAATTTCGAAATGAATTAGTAACATGTGTGAGTTTTTGTAGATAACAAGTGCAATATTAACGATTACTATACCTTAACACCACCGCAGAGCGAACAGGCCACGCTCAGCCTTCGCTGGGTTCCGCCGGAGAGATTCCGGGCAGCCGTCTTCCTCCGGTGCTGAAGGTTTAGCTTCTCCAGATACTTCTCCACCTCCGCCTTGACATCCGCTCCTTTGACTCCCCGAAGCCGGCTGAAGAACCAGATGTGGTTGGTCGGGCTCAAGTGCTTGAAAAGGGAATTGTGCTGCGGACACAGACCAATGCATCTGCGGGCCTTGCTGCGCTCCCTTCGGATGTCATAGCCATTTACCAGAGCCGTTCCAGAAGTGGGCGAAATAAATCCAGCCAGCATGCTGATCAGCGTCGTCTTGCCCGCACCATTGTGACCCATTAGCACCGTGATCTGGTCCTCGAAAATGTCAAAACTCAGAGGTTTCACTGCCTCCCTCTTGCCAAAGGTCTTGCTGAGACCTCTGATCTGAACGCCAGCTTTCTTACCCTCCGGATCTGCCTCGATGAGCTTAAGATCGGGACGTTCGACATCTGGAGACGTTGCATACATGCCGAACATCCTGTAGAAGAGCCGCTTATAGGGCACGAGATTTTCGGCGGGACAGCAGCATGTGCAGAGGAAATGCCAGGGTCGAGATACCCCATAAGGACCTGGCCGGATCTTTTCCACATACAGACAGATTAGGACGGACAGCAGACTGGCCAGAAGCATAAACAGCAGGATATATCCCATGCAGATCGTGTCGCCTGGCCACGAGTGCTTGAAGAAATTACCCCACTGAAGGCCCACGCCATAGGCCTCCCAAGAACTCAATGATGCTTTCAATAAACCCAAACCGGACAAAATGAAAAGGCTGCAGAATGCGCTCACTGCCTCCTTAGAACTATTGGATAACAGGACCCAAAGGGGAATTTCAGTGGCAAACAAGGAAAGGATAGTGATAAGGGAGATGTGACGGGTGGTGCTTATAAGGCTGCTCATCAGAAAGCTAAAGCAGATCATACAATGGCTGAGGATGAGCAGTATGAACAGGATTACCGACCAATGTGTATTGGGCACAAAAGATGTGTCCGCCTTCGGCAGGACGATTTTCCAGAAGAGCGTTATTATCGCCGATCCAAACAAGAGCACTATGAAGCTCTGGACGTACCATGCCAGCCACTGCAAACTGGAACCAACTCCCAATAGGTTCAGTGTCTCCTTGAGTTGGAGCTCCTTTTCCTCGACAATAGACTGTAACGGATAATATAAGAAAATCTGGTTGATAAGGCTTACAGAGATTCGATATTGTCGATACCTTTGTCAAACTGATGACCACGAAAAATATTATGATTTGAATAAGAAGTTGGGCCACAGCACGCAAGGCAATTGAGTACTCTGTTCCATAAATTGGTGGCGTGGGAAGATCCTTAAATTCTGGAAACGTCATATTCCCCTGACACTTGTTCAATTGCTTGCACTTGTGCATTATGTGCGCTTGGCTCAATGCCTGCTGAACGCTTAAAAATGAGGTTAAATACAATGGAGATCCTGCCATCAAGAACATGTCATTAACATCCAACACAGATCGTATAGGAGCACGGAGTGCGAAAGATAACTTATCTGGCCATTCGGTCCAGCTGCCGTTAAATTCAATACCAATCACACTACTGTTGTCATAAGGAAAACCGACCAACGCTTCATGGAGTTTTTCCGGACTTTTAAAGGCTGTGGTTTTATTTATTTTTAATTCACCCATAAACGTCCTGAGTAATTGAGTTTTAGGTGAGTAATAAATGTTTTCCCTATTGATATTTAAAAAGTTGTACATTTTCTTTTAGGAAAAAGGAACATTAGAAGACTTACGGAAAATTGTTGAGAAGCGCAACTGTGGGAATTGGTCCAGGTATGGCTGATTGAGTCCTTAAGTCCGGTATAAGCCTAAGACACATACATAACATAGGCAGGAGGACAAAGAAAATGAAGAGGCTGATCATGTAGCATTTTCGACCGGGTAGCATTGAAAAGTTTTTCCACACCAGCAGCAAAAATTTTACAAAGCAGTTCGGAGCAGCCATACTAATTTAGTTTTGTGGGCAAGGCATAGGCAAATTTATATATTCTAAAAACTGTATGTGTATAAAACAATAAACTCTAAGCCACTTTGTTTTGTTTTCGCCTAAGTAAGAGGATTTTTCATTCGAATTAATATATAATTTAATTTAATAAGACTTCTAGTGTGACCGACCCCATTTAAAATATTGTTAGTATTAGACTCTCTTACACGATCTAAATTCTGGTCTACGTTTTTGGTATTTTCCTACCTCCTTTATAGGGTCGTTTTTATTATTTTTATTATAAGATTAGGAATTTTGTGGATTGTAGTATCTACGGATTTAAATACTTCTTCCCAAACGTCTTGTTGACTTATAAAAATAATCACTTAATCATTCTTTCATCTTGTTAGCTTCAACAAATAGGATTACTGCGTCACTTCCAAAGCAAGCTCCTTCAATTGCAGCCTGTCCTGTCATCATCACAGGGTTATCCATTTTGTGCAAACAGCAGCAGAGGCGAAACCCCAAAAGTCAATCAGTCTGAAAATTATAAATGCAAATTGATGAGCCTGGGAAGGCTGGCAGCCCATTGATTACTGGGATACAGAGGGGCATAAACAATGGCCCACCTCACTGCACACACACACATATTCCGGCAATCGACGTGGCCAAGACGGATGGACAGTATATAACAATTAGAAGTTTCCTGCTCATCCAAGGAATCGGGGGTCCAAGGAGGTACCAGGTAATCTGAGGCCATGTGGACAAACGACAGTGGCAAAGGCAACTTGTCAGCTCGAATGACGTTTTAATAAGTCACATAATTCATGGGTCGAGAATGGGATGGGTGTAGGTTCGGTTCTGCATAGCGATAGGGGGACTGGCGAACACGTTCCCCGAAACTTCGGATTTCTCGTTTAGCATGGACTCCAACTCCAACTCGCATCGCCAATGTAATACAGTGGGTCTATTTGCCTCAAACTTGCCGGGACAGGAAACTCTATAAGCGTGGGGTTTTTATTATTAATATTAATAGTATTTGTCGCGGAAATCACTGACGATACAATGTTGTGATCACCTTAAGCATGTTTACTTTTTTAATTTATTGCTGAGTGATAAAATGAATATTTATATTCTATAAATTATGAGTCGGTGATACAATGTATGTAGTTGAGTGAGTAGAAAAAAAAAGTTAATTAAAGTGTATATAAGTAAATGTTGATATTGTTCTGGTCCATCTGAATAAAACGTTCATAGAAATAGAATATTTTGTCTACTTTAAAAGGCGTCTATGAGTATGCTACGTTTTATTTAGAGTTTAAAAGATGACCCCTTATTTGTTTAAACGTACTTATATATACGATTTAAAAACGTTTTTAAACCTTCGGGAATTTTATTATGAATTTTTTTTATGATTATATAAATGGGAATTTTAGAGTTTATACATATGTACTCAGCACACTGTGCACACTCACCTGGTTAGACCGCGTAGCATCCATTGGCCTCGGGGCAAACGGCGCTTTTGGGACGCCTTGACACATGCTCCCCCCGCAGGCTCCACCACCCAGTCCCCATCACCCATCCACCCGGCTTGTCAGCTGCTCATTTGTCAATGTAATTGATTTTATGCCTGAGCTTTTGACTAAGGTTGTCGTGCCGTTAAGTTTGCCCGTGTGGGGACTTAGTAGAGGAGATAGCTTGGCCTAGAGCGGACACTCAAATCGGAACACTGGAAGAAATCGTAGAATATCTTTAACAAATAAAATAATAGTCAAAAAGTATCCCTAATTCTACTTTCTTATGAGTTTTATTGGCCGCTAATCGTTTTATTTTATAAGAAAAGTACTGTTTTTTTAATTTAAAAATAAAATATATCCCTAAAAAAATTTGTTTAGTCTAAGTATTAAACTATATATTTATGTAGGACATTTTGTAAATCTGATTTAGTGATTGTGTAATGCAAAAACTTGTGTAATTTTTTTTGGTGTGCACTCTGATGAAAGGGACGAATGAAGGGGCATCAGCAGACTGGATTGGTTTTTGTGGCTAAGATAGTTGGAGCTACCTGGCAACTTGGGCACTAGCCTTTTGCCTGATATATTATTCGATTACAGTTAGACGTAAATCAAGTGGAAGAGCATGATGTAGCCATCACTTGAGCTCTGGGTTCGGGATTCGATGATGGGTTGGAGTTGGGAGAAGTTATTGCGTTGACTTCATATGACAACGATTCAAATTGAATGTCAATGTCTGCCCTGACCGATGGTCACCTGGGATAGTTGAATCAATAAACTATGAGGTAAGGTCAAAAGTATTCACACATGAGGCGACATTCAGAGGAAAGTCGGTTAACTTGTAGACTTAGAATAGGTATACAAATAGGATTTGGGACAAGAAATATATGTTTTCTTCTAATAAAAGAAATCAAGATAATTGTATTAATAAGAGCCGTTGTTAAAAATTGTCAAGTAAAAAAATGTAATTACCAAGTCATCAAAATTTTTAACGTAGTTAAAAAAACAACCTTTTTTTAACCCGATATCCAGTAAATCGTAAAATAAACAGTAAAAACGTAACTCCAAGTGAAGAAATATAAAAATCTGCCGTTATAAATTCGCTCCTTTTCTAGCATTTCTAATTGAATTTTAACACTTTTCGTGACGGGAAGATTGAATGATGGATCGAGTGAGAGATTGAGGAGTGCGCCACCCAATGGGCACAACTTAATTTTCAATTAATGCATGAAACCAGAACAAAAGGCTGGCCAAAACCGGCGAAGGAACCGGTAGCCCCGGGGAACTGCTAGCCGGCTGCACTTGAGATTGAGGCGACTTTTTTATGGGTGAGCGCATTGTATCTGTGAGATACGTAGATGCTTCTATTGGCCAGCACCCGAGGCTCACACACGCATTCGCGTTTTGTGGTGGCAAAAGAAAATCCTTGGCGCTCATAAATTTTTATAGCTTGTAATTATTTGGAATGTCGGGCTGGACGGGTCCGCCATTGGGCCCTCTTTCATCCGGCCCCTCTCCATTATGTCTGCTCTATGGCTATCAGTGTTGTGGGATATGTATCTGGCTATTTTCAGAGGTCAAAAAAGGTAGAAAAAAAATTCCAGATTTTTGGAGCGACTTTTGAAACTAGAATATGAATGTTGGAACTCCAACACATTCCACTTATATTGTAAATAAATCATGGCTCAGTTATATATGTGTATTGATTCAGCACAATGAAAGAATTTTGATAATTTTTGATAATTTTATGGCTGATCCCAAAAATAATACCAAATCGTTACTTAAAACACTTAAACATTTTTCAAAACTATATAGCTAAAATATCGTTAATGGCTAAATAAATAATTTTTTTTAAGAAAAATATATTGGGTGTTGTGTAATTCTTGCAAATTAATTCAATGAACCTTTCTCCTAGCTAGATTTTATATGGAAAGCTAACTCTGATGACCATTCTGATCTGCGCATGCGCGGCAGGCGGTCCAAGTTTCTGGCTTTGGCCAGCTTCCTGCTTTGTTTGGTTTTCGGCTTTGGAGCAATGCGAGATTTATACATTGGCTTAATTAATGGCAATGCTCTCGCGATTGGCTTTTATGTCTCGTACGCGTATCTGCTGGATGCATTCGAAGAGCCAGAGTCTGTAATTAGTCGTGGCCAGCTGAGAATCGTGTTTACTAGGCTGTCTTGGCCAAAACCATCCGCTTTGCTTTCTCTCAGGTGCTAATAAAGTTGTCAGCTAATGAAATTGGCAATGCCAAGAGCCACAATCACGATTTTTTGCCGATAAACGATTGATAAAGAATGTTTCCTCCACTTCCTAGCATGGTCATAAGTAAGAAAATTGTCTAAGGAAATACTAATACTGAATTTATTACTGGATTTTTTTTAACATACAATTTTTCAATAAAATGATTTTTATGGGGAATAAAAATGTCCCGATTTGGAATCCAAACTAATTTCAACTTCCTTAAGTTTAGTTTACAAATTGGAATTGATGTTAAAATGGAAAAAATATCTACTTAAAAGATATTAAAACTCGTGTTGTTGAAAGATTTCAAAGACTTAGTACAACAACTTTTGGAAAACAAATCTAGCTATTTCTAGTCCATCACACTTCCTTTAGTTCACCATAATTAAATCATTTTAATTAAATTGCGTCTTGATGTAGGTTAAGTAGTAAATTATGGGTTTCTAATTCGTACCCAAGTTGGTAATACCTCAGTCGTTAAAAATCCGTCAACCGTTTAATCTGAAAACTTCAAGAGATAATAGTTCCCATCTTCTGTGTTAGCTAATCACGATTCTATATCGTATAAGTGCGGATCCAAACATTATGCATATAGCTCTGCTTGCTCATTATCTCCTCAGACGGCACTTCTCCGATTTCCCCGATTCTCGGCCACTTTCAACGCCTCGGCGAGCAAACTCAATTACTTAGAGAACACGCTGTTGGCCCGCACTTCTTCATCCCTGCCACGCCCCCCGGCCGCTCCCCGCCCCTTTTTCCAGCTCGAGGCGATTCCTGTCTTTTGGCCTGGCTTTTGCTTTGACTTCGTTTCATTTCTGCCTTTCTGCCCGGCAACTTAAAATGCAAACATTTGCCGAGCTTCCACCGAGCTGCAGAGCTCGGTTCTCTACATGGCTGTTTTTGCCTTTTTGATGATTACAAATTAATCACACTTTAAACATGGCAATTACGCTCTGGAGGGGGCCACAAAACTTGCATAGACACATGGCCCGACGAATCCGGGCTTCCTCAGCAGCGAACTTCGCTTCTTTTATATGGAAAATTGCTTCCTTTCGCTGTTTAACTTTCGTTTTAATAAATAATCAAGTAGGCTCGGAGTCGGGAGTTGGGAGTCGGGAACCGGGCTCCACTTGAGCTGTTTTAAGCTCCACTTTAGCAGCTCCTGCACTCAGGAAAAAAGTAATAATATTTAAGGTGGCTCTGATATAAAACAAAGGTAACATTTTTCTACTATCAAAAAAATAAGAATTTCTTTACAAACAGTAGTGATAAAACGCAGAAAATCTCCAGCACTTTAATATTTAAATATTATGTTTACAAGAAAACAGTTCCATCAAAACTAAACGATCTTCAAAATTAAAAGCCTTATTGACATCTTCACAAAATATTTTGTATACTTATATATCACGTTTTAAAATGTTAGGGTAGTTTTAGCTTAGCTATCATATCTTCCATCGATATTCATCCAAATATCATTTTAAAATATTAAGGTAACCATCACAATCCGCAGTTGAGTAAATGTGCCGTAAAATGGTAGATTACGTTAATAGTGTCTTAGGGATGAACAAAAGTCAAAGCTTTTAGGTTAAGGTAATTATTTATAAAGAACCACAGCCTTTGAATGTGTTCCACATGATTTAGTTCAGTTATTTTTCTCAGTGCTCTTGCTCTTCTTGGCTGCTGCTGTTCGTCAAGTCCCTCGTGTAATTTCCAGGCAATTTCTCATACCCATAATTGCATAATTTCAAAGTTGTTGGCAACTTAATTGCGCTGCACATTGGACCAGGCCAAGACTGATTCTCGGGCTACCTGTCTCCCTCTGCCCATTGCCATCCCGTTCTGGCCGCTGTCTTCGGTGTAAATAAAACCTTTTTAAACGCTTGTCAGGCGGTTGGAACCCACGTTGGGCCTAACTGCCAGCGACTTCAAAAGCGCGCATCATCATCAAACATGTGTTGTTGGACTGGGCCCAGAACTGCCCCACCCCCCCGAAGACCGCCCCCACTTATACCCCTCCCCCTTCCCGTTTTCCCCCATCGAACCCCACGGCCATTTGCCATCAAAGTTAATATGCTTTATATTAAATTTTGTTGCCTGGCCTCCTTTTCAGTCCGGTTCAACTGCTCTGGCCGCCGGGCATTTTATAATCTGCATCTGCCGCACTTCCCCATCTGCCCACCGCCCCATTTTGTAGAACTGTTTTCATTTTCCCCCCGCCTTTTTCCATCTTTCCCCTGCGTGTCGCAAACATTTCGCATCAAATTACTCAATTAATTTCACTTAAATGAAAAACAAAGTTAAGGCGTGCATTTAATGTGGGAGAAACGGAAAAGCAGGAAATGCTGTGGCCAGTCGTTCCCACCAGGAATTACCAAATTGGTAGGCATTTGCGTGGAAATCGCGGATAATTGGCCGAGAATAAAAGAAGTTAAGCAGCCAATTTATGGTTCGTAGAATTTTAAATGAAAGGAAAATTATACAGGTTCAGTGGATCAGGTTAAGATTTAAATAGGGGCAATAAGGAACGGAAAATATCCTGCTTAATACCATCATTTATGGAAAATGCAATTAAAAAATAATTTTCTTTACTGTTTTCTTCCAATTATTTTCTGGGATCCCATCGTAAATACTCGCTCTTTCTTGCAAAAGGTCTGGGTGGAAAATATTAAACAAATCTTTGAGTTACTTGAACATGCTCCCTAAATGAAAATAAACAAATTTAAAGCTACAAATGTTATCCAAAATTCCCAACAAGCACCTCTTGAACTCCCCAGAAATGTTTAACCAACCTCAATGCCTAAAAGTACTCAATTTCACTTGATGCTCGTGTAACCTTTCAAAAAACTTTGAAGCATCCAAAACAGCCTCCTCCACAAAACCCAAAAATTGGAGAAAGGTGCTCTACAAAGCAGTATTTCAGAGCGGACAGTAGTCAACGAGCATTTGCAAATTGATTTATGGGCACATTTCTTGCAAATGAGCCAAGCAAATCAAAACAAGACGGCTTGTAGGAGCTACATATTCCTGTTTCTCCCTCCAGAACCCAAATTCTCCACTGGCCATGGCCAATGTGGACTGCCAACATAGCCAACGAAATGCATTTGGCACGCAATTACGGCCCAAAGTGTTAATTGCATTTCCGCTCTGCAGCCAACCAAAGGAGCAGATTCAGAATCGCCAGCAGGAGCAGAAGCTGCAAGGTTGGAGTCGAGGCTATCCAAGCCATCAAATGCGGCACGGCCCACAGCTCACGCATTTGGCATTAACCAGAGACAGCCTACACACACTCAAAAAAATTAAATTGAAAAGGAATTTTAATGCAAAACAAATGATATGCAAAAAAAGATTTTAAATATATAAATCCATATCTTAAAATGATTAAAGTTAAATAGTTAAGAAAGGTAAAGTTAAGTCGCAAGGATCGAAGGACTACTTATTTGTACACCCAATACTTTTTCCTTTCTATCTATATTACAATTTTTCTGTCTCTATAAACAGGTCACATTTTACAATACTTAAAAAACACTTTTCTTAGATAGTTATAATTTTGAAACAGTAAAAGTATATGTTATACAAATAAAATACAATCGTATTTTTACATATTACAAAAACCCGTATTTCAGTTTTTTTTCCTTAAACTTTTCGCTCAGTGCATTGTGGAGAAATAAATGTGGCTAAGCCAAAGCCAAACCAAAGCATTTGGCTGAGATAAGCGAGCGGCAGAGTTAACGGATTTTTTTGTGTGCGGCACAGTGCGAAGTGCAGGGGTATTCGGCGGAGGAATGGGCATATAATGGCCAAGACGCATGCGTGGCACTGCGGACCTGGCCAAAAACAGAGCAAAGAAGTCCAGACACGCAGCAGGCAGCCAGATGGGGCGAAACTAAGTCAAACATTTGTAGAACACGGCGGAGAATCCAGCGAAGGGGTCTCTGTACTCAGAAGATCTCCCCGGGGATTGCGGATGAAAAAGTGGAAAATTTATGGGCCCCAAAAGGCGAATAGATGTCGTAGATTTCGCATGCTACAGCGAATAGTTAACAGTTGGGGATGGTATAAGATGGGATGGGGTCTTGGTCTTGACCAAACCTACCATGTAGATGCTTGGATATATGTAAAATATGGGTTGCAGGAATTGATAGGTGCCCACAACGAGATAGCAATCTTTTTTCTGAGATAACAAGAGAAATCCCAAAGCCATTTGTGAACTTCCCTTGAACTCCGTTAGCTGACCAGAAGTGCTTTTTAATTGGTCGTAGCTGCAATTTGCATAGACCATTTGCAGCAGCCACAATATCGCCCGGAGGTCTGACATTCGAAACGGGTCTAAGTTTCGATTCGGGAATCCTGCCTTGCATTAGCCAGCTACATGTGGCAACATTTCAGTGATAAGCCCCGGCAAAAATGTTGGCCAAGTCGGTGCCCAGCTGTCGATTCCGCTTTTGGCCATGCTCCAATCTCGAAAGCCAAGCTATCCCAATCCGAGTCCCCAGCCCCATCCCCTTGGTGCTGTCGGTTTTGTGGCATTTGTATTGGCAAATCAATGATAATGACATTTATTTGAGCCAACTCCGCTGCGCTCGTCGTGCGGCTCTTAACCAAATCCGTTAATAAGCCATTTTGACAAATTGGATGATTGCCGCGCAATCGTTCGGCTGCCAGGAGCAGATGGGACATCATCCCAACGAATTCCCAGCGAGTCGGGAAAGTGTGGCGAAAGTGAAGATAAAATGTCAAGGAAACAGCTTCTCGGCAGATACGAAAAATGGAGTGGAAATGGGATTGGTAGGAAAAATCAACAGAGCAATAATAATTGATGAGAAGAAATCATACAATGTTTCCTTATATAAATGAAAAAAAAGTACTGTCTTGTGTCTTAAAAATATTGGTCTACAAAGTCCACTCAAAAAAAAAAGGTTAACAAAGAATCAGTCTTTGTTCTGATCTATAAAATATAAGTAAATCTAACAACTACAATATGATGCACAAATATAAAGAAATTAGAAATGATCATATATATAAGTAATTTTATTTCGAATTAAATTAAAGGTAATACATAATTTTGACGAAGTATAATGTAAATTCGTTAAGACAATTGCTGAGACTTCCTGAAGAATCACCTACATCATATCCCTCTTATAGCAAGTAATAGTGTTTTGGCATTCGGCATCGTGAACCTGATGGAAAACTGTAAGAAAAGTTTAGTATTTTCGTTATTACATATTGATTTATTGAATTTTTCTCAAGTAACCATTACCATTCTTGGTGTTAAAGCAGTTCCACTGACTCAGCTCACATTGTCCTGGAAATTTGACCACGCATTTGCCATTGCTGGCACAGATGGATAAAGATTCCTTGGGACACTGGAAATTGCATTTTCCCAGCTTCATTTCCTCGCGATGTTGGGCAATCAGTTGGGGAATGTGGGCATGGACTTGGTTGACGATATTGGATACTTTATCTGGAATTACCAAAGAACGACCCGTTTTGGAGACATTTGATTGGGATGCGGTTTCAGTAGGCTCTGGATCCTTGTGGTCATCTTTATCTTCCTTGTTTTTATCCTGTTCCTTTTCTTTTTGAGCCTCCTGTTCCTTTTTCTGCTTAATGGCCTGGTTGACAGCCAAGGGAATGTGCTTCTCAGCCTGTTGCATCACCTTGTTCACATGCTGTTGAAGTTTGTTCAGCTTTTCGGCCACATTGATGGGTTCTTGACCAGGAAGTGAGAGCACTATTTGGTCCACAGGCGGCATCACCACCTTGTTCTGCACCACCGGACGTCCTTGATGGATTAGCGTCCCGGTAGCCTGGTGATTGGTAATCTTCACCTGTGGATTGCCAACTTGCACCGACTGTAGGCCAGATTGCAGCGCAGGTGAAGGCGTTGGTGTGTCGGCAGGGGGAGTGGCAAGGACATCACCAGAGTGTGCCAGTGGTGGAAGGAGATCTGGATGGGGCTTGACCACTGGCGACCCACTCTTACTCCCACTCCCATTCCAATCCACCGGCCCACTCAGTGTATTCGTGTCCTGAGGTTTGTTCTTTATATGCTGGAGTACATGATTGATGTGGCTGGTTATCAGGTTCTGGATGTGAATGGGCAGCTGGGGTTTCCCCGTTGTGGTTGTAGCTGCGGTTTCCGTGGTCTGGGGCAACTCGGCGGCTTGTCCCAGCGACAGGATGGCTACGAAATATAAGGTATTTATTTTCCAGATTCACTTTTTAACTTTTTAATAAGTTCAATCACGGTTAACACCAATTTTTAACTTGAAAAACGTATTCAAAATTTTTTAATATTAGTAATGTTATAAAAATATTCAATCTTCTAAATGTTTTAGATTTTATTATTATTATTATTTTCTATACCATCCACTTGAAGTTATAATTTGATCTGTTTTCTGTACTACGTTTTTAGTTGGCTTTAACTCAGTTAAAACTCACCTAAAACCAAAAAGAATTTCATGATTCTCAATATTCCACACTTGCGTTTCTTTTCGACACTCAAAGGCGTTCTGTGTCTCTTCCGAAAAATGTTGTCACTTTATAAAGGCTTTTCGGGCTCCTTTAAACGTCACCAGTCTTGCAAGCGATTTGTTTAATAATATTTGCTCATGTTATTATTTGATTTTTATTTAAATTCTCAGCACACGAGATGCTAACAGGTTTTTGGTTGCGCTTGAACGGACCAGTGAGCTGAGACTCGCACTTTGGTGGGGTAGGAGATGGAAAATACTTGTCTTCCAGCTGGGAATATCTCTCAAGTACAGCTTTAATCGCTTCCTTATGGAACATCATGTTTGGAATTAGCGTTTTAAAATAAGAAAATTATGAAGTATATTTGGAGAGTGTCCACAAATTGTTAAAGGTGATAAACAATTTAATATACAAAAAATAAGTGATTGAATTTTGAAGTTATTTGAATATTTACATGTTTTTTGCACATTAATCATGTGCCAATTAGATCGTAAGGTAAAGTCAATGGATATTTTATTTGATATGTTTTAAAATAACTAATTAGATCTACAATGTTTTATTTTATACATTCCTCGTATATATTACCTTTAAGTGAAAACTTCATATATTTGGAGGGGCCTAGAATAATTAATTTGATTTCTAAAAACTATATAAAGAGTTCTCAATGAAAATTGATAATAGTTACAATTTAATATAATAATTCATGTTACTTGCGATATAAGCATTTTTCACTTTGAAACAAAGACTTTAGCGCCATCACAACAACCACCCGGAATTTTCCGCAACTAATAAAAACTGGACACAATTCAAAGCGTACTTTTAGGCGACAGAATCAGTGAAAGCAAAGTAAAATTCTAACTACACAAAGAAAAAAAAGAGCAGTCTTAAATCAAAGAATTCATACATTTGTTTTAAGTCAAGACATAATTAAAAGTGAATCTATATTAATGCCGATATGTAAAATGGTCTTGATTTAAAAACACAGAAAATGGTTTTAAAATCTTTATTGAGAAATGCTAAAATTGTCATGAAAATTCCTATTATAGAAGAAAGACACTTCAAGACACAATGCATGACAAAATCGGTCATAAACTTTGCATTTGAATTCTAAAAGTGTTTTTCCTCTCAGTGAATAAATATGCAAATTTTGTATTTCAGACCTTTGTATTTTTAGCCAGGCTGCCCGTTTAATTACAAGGCAGATAAGAATAAAAATGACAGACAAAGCTGTTGATGCCGCTGATGATGATGCAATTTAATATCCCTGGCAGGTGTTAAAATAAGGGATTATGCAGGGAATCAGGAAGGACAGACCGCAGCATCAGCAGCAGAAACCAAATGCTTTTATCAGCAGAAATCTGTTGGGTGTATAAAACCGTGGCCAGTCCGTGGCAAATTCAACAGTTTTACAGTTGCTGCGAAAACAGCAAGGTAAACGCATCAAAAATAAACACAAACAGTTTCAACCGAAGGTACCTTGAAAACCAACAGTGAAGCTCATCTCGTTGTTCTTCCTGGGTTCGTCCTTTTGTATACCACATAAATAATTATTTTATTAAAACAATAACATTTTTGTACAGCTTTTGTTGCCCTTACTGCCGCTAAAGTGGTACCCGTTTCAAATGGCATTAATTTAAGCATTGATCAGCATGGAAAAAGGGTTTATGCGGATGAGGTCGAGGATAAGTGTGACTACTATTGTGCCAAAAAGGATCCTTCTGTGTGTGCCACCAATGGACAGTGCCTTCTGAAGTTCGAGAGCCACTGTGCCATGACAGCATACAACTGCCGCAATCCCCAGAAAGAGTTCAAGACCGTGGAGGACCATCGATGCATGCAGGACTGGCAACCACTTTGCAAGGATGCAGATCTCAAAGAGTTTGGATTGTGAAAAGGCGTTTCGGTTGATAGGTTGTAGAATGGATTCAATAAAACTAAATTGACAATATATACTTTATTTTTATTATTTTTTTTGGTTGTACTTCCAACAAGCCCCAACCTGCGATTTTTTTGGATTTTAAGGACCTACGTGTTTTGGCCATGAATATGAGAAAAATATCTTAGAAATAAATATAAATAAAAATAAATAAATATTCAATTATATAAAGGTAATCTTCTTCTATGCTTAGCAAATAAAATACTGTTAATTTTTGATCTTGTTCAAATTACATTTCCTGTTGTTCCCTTAAAGTTGTGAGAAAATATTTTTAATATTTATGGCTTGCTCTGCCAAAATCCTTAGCAACAATTAAAAAACAAAAAAACCTTTTTGTCTGATTTCACAATGATGATTAGTAATCATTTGCATTTATTCTGACTGTGTAAACGGCGTTGTCAATACTTCATTAATTAAGTGCCGCTCTTGATTAATAATGAGGGTTTATTTTTTGATAAGCAAAACAATAAGTTTGTTGGAAATAATGTGGGTATAGCGGTGTTTTTGATCCACAATCGCCGCAATACCCTTATTTCTTAAAGCACATCTCCGTAAAACGGTTTTTGACAGGAATGAAACCTCTGAGTACATTTTCCTCTTCTCGTTTTATGAATCCCATGATATAATGGTTGAAGAACTGTATAAACTAATATGAACATATGTCAAATGACTGGCAAATTAGAAAGAAAAAACACACCCTTTTTTATTCATTGCTAACATTTTCTTACTCATCACTAAACCATTAATTAACTAGGAAGCCAATAAAAGAAATGTGCACTTAGGATATTTTTTACTGTTTATTATGTTTTATATGTAAATGATAGTGTAGTGAATAAAATCTAATAATCGTAGTTCCCGGTATTTTACAGCTTCAACTCCTCCTCCTTGCACCGCCTCATGCAAACTCCCATTCTGCAGACCTCCTCGTCCACTGCACGGAAAGTCAAATCTCGATGTCTGCAATTGAATGTGTCCATCACACACTGATTGGCAAACTCATGGATGCAGATCCCATTGTGGGCACAAATAGGCGAGTATTCGAGCTTTGTGCACAGCTCATCGCAGTTGTCCATCGGTGGAGGGGTCATTGTCATCATGCCCGCTGGGGACATGGTTGTCATGCCTCCCATCAATAGATGGAAGCAATTCCGGGATGGCACTCGCTTGGGTACCGATGGCGATGCGGGTGCGGTGGTGGTCTGACTTGGTGGCATTACCGCGACCGGCATAAGTTCGGAGGCCTCGGGATTGGGGATGCCAGGATTGGGAATTCCGTGATTGGGGATACCAGGATTCGGAATACCATGGTTGGGAATACCAGGATTAGGGACGCCATCGTTAGGTATTCCGCGATTGGGTATTCCGTGATTGGGGATGCCAGGATTTGGGATACCGTGGTTTGGAATACCAGGATTGGGGATACCATCATTGGGTATTCCTCGATTTGGAATTCCATGATTGGGGATGCCAGGATTCGGGATACCGTGGTTCGGAATACCAGGATTGGGGATACCATCATTAGGTATTCCACGATTCGGGATTCCATGATTGGGGATGCCAGGATTCGGGATACCATGGTTCGGAATTCCAGGATTGGGGATACCATCATTAGGTATTCCGCGATTTGGGATTCCATGATTGGGGATGCCAGGATTTGGGATACCGTGGTTTGGAATTCCAGGATTGGGGATACCATCATTGGGTATTCCGCGCTTCACAATTCCATGATTGGGGATGCCAGGATTCGGGATACCATGGTTCGGAATCCCAGGATTGGGGATACCATCATTAGGTATTCCTCGATTTGGAATTGCAAGATTATATTGTCCCGAACTCGAAACTGATCTGGTTATCCGGACCTTGTTATCCGACTTCACTGTAGGTGGAACCACTACCTCCTGGACAACATGGACCTTTCCCGGCTTGATCTCCTCCACGGTGGCCACTTCCTCCCTGTTCTGATTGGCCACGATCACGGGTTTTCCATTGGACAGCAACGGCACTTGGATGGTAATCCGACCGATTTCTGAATTTGGCACAACCTGCCCTGTGGCGAAGACGAAACACAGGAGCACTGAAAAATATAAAAGTCATTCCTGTTCCATTCGATAAGGATGTTAAGCTGCCCACCTGCGGCCAAAGGATAACTCGGCTTAAACATCTTGAAACTTTAACTCCAATGTCTTCTCTGTCCTTGACTGCTGCATAACCCAGCTTATATAAGGAGTTTCAACTCAAATCATCTTACGCAACAAAACCAGTTCTCAACTTCAGGCTTCCTTAATAAATAAAACATTTATGTGCATTGTCTTTGAACGGGTTTCGCCCAATTAGCATCGCTTTGGCCAGTGAAAAAGGCGGGTCTTTGTTTATAAAATATTCTTTTTATTTTGATACAAATTCTTCGACTTGCATCTGGTAAATTACATTTAAAATTCCATACTAGTAAGTAGGTGTCTAAACGTTTGGACTTTTTTGTTAGAGTTATCTAGGCCTTAACACACTTTAAAAACTTCCCATTTAAGGCAATTAAATTTTGATTAACGATTTCACATCGATTCTTGAGTTTTCTTGGATATTACTTTAACTATTTTATGGTTGACCGCTTGAGATGTTCTGTTGCTTAGACTATTAGGGATCGCTTTCGTTTGGAGCTTCTAGGTGACACCTTTTCATGTGCTATCCCTAAATGTTTGCACATTGTGTCCATTTCATGTTGGGTTATATATGCAGAGTAAGATTAGTTTTAACTGTGCTATACATTGACATATGTTTGTGGGTTAAGATATAAGTTCTCAGTTGAATAACTCCTTCTAGTGATATTTGCTTTCCTTCGATCCACATCAAACTAAAACTCCGTCTTCGTATCCTGGGATTGTCCATACCATAAACGCAAATTTTTTGATAGATTTTTGTAACTACTTTAGAGGCAAACTAAGAAGGGTCTACAAGTAGACAAAAAATAAAGAACAGATATGAAATATGGAAAAACCTTCTTAGCTGCCTTAACAAAATTGGAAAATATCTCCTATCAATCGTTAACACTTCTTAAAATCTCATTTTATGCATATACATATTCGCAATTAGATTTTCCAGCAATTATCAATAAATTATTGGGTTCCATTTCATTTAAGATTAAACGAGCTCTTCAGACTTAGTATCTAACAATATTTATAAGTAATATCTTTAGGGATCAACAACACGCACTATACAAAACTCAAACTAGAAACGAAGGAAATTAATCTTTTACACAATTTTAGACTTTCTTTATACAAAACATTCTCTAATCGAATTAAGGACATTTTTGACATGCAATCTTTGTGTTCTCTGTGTTGTTTTGGTTTAAAAAACTACATTAAATTGTTATAAAATAAATTACGACTTAAGTTAGGCATAAATACATGTATAGAGTGTAGCTTAAAAATTTAACATAAAGTAGGTTTAGTTAGTTTATTCATTTTAGTTAATGTTAGGTGGTTGTGGTACTCTATTGAGCGCCTAGGGATTGATTTGTTCTTCCGGTTGGCTGCTTTACTTCCGCTCCATGGGCTTAACCTCCAGCAATTGAGGATAGTTCTCCACAATGTTGAGTAGAATGGTATCAATGTAGTGCTTGAGCCGAACATTTTCGTCCTCCTTTTCCTGGAAGGCCTGTTGCAACTGTAAGACATAGGTTTTATTAGTATTTAGTTTAAATTGTAGTCGACACAAAAAACATGGAAAAATAAACAGATTTTTGAGTTCTTATATACACAAATGAATGTTAGAGAGTTGACCAGGTGGAAATATGTCCGTTATGAGTTTGATAAATTAGATAACCATGAACCAACATTAGTTTTAAGTCAAATTTAGTTTAAGTCGAACTGCAATGCGTGCACAGTGGCTCCAAAACCGTGTTTTATTATTTGTTCATTTTGATTGTGGCTTTTGCGTGATTGAAGCATTACCTGACTTAAGGATGCTAATGTGGCTGAATCCACAGAATCCTGTAATACAATAAATGTCAATTTAAATACACATGTGGGCAGATAAAAAGTATATTTTATATTAAACGCAGGGCAGTACGGACACTAGGAGGCTTTCAAACTGTAGGTTTCTAAAAGCGATTTCATCAGTTTTCATTTTGCGGTGACTGTGCGTGTGCTTTTGGACTTTGCTTCTAGACTGTGTTTTTGTGGGTGTGGGGATGACGGATTGGACTACACTAAAAGCGGAAGCAGGCGATGTTACGGGCACAATACACACCTGGGCTTGTGACATCTCCTCCAGCTCCTGGGCCAAACTATTGAGGGTTCCATTTAGCAAATGGCGACCCTGCTCCACACCATTCGTCAGCATGGTGGCCTGGTTGGTCAACATCGTGGCCTGAAGCTCCTCGTTCTGCTCTTCGAGTGCTGGAGAAGGAAAACCAAAAGATTAGTTTCATTTTGTCAATCCCCTGAACCAATCTTTAACCCTTCCACTCACATCGATTCTTTTGGCGCATCTCCTCGAGCTCCTGGTGAAGCTCCTCCAGTCTTATGCTCTCCGGCGACGTGGTCGGCATCGCCCGGGCTCCGTTCTCCTCGCGGGCACGCTGCAGCTCATTGCCCAGCTCCAGCATCAGGTCCTCGGCGGACTTCTTCTCCTGCTCGTAGCGGCGCAGGACCTGTGCCTGCTCCTCGGCCTCCTGCTGCAGGACGCTGATTTGGTCGTGGGCCAGCTCGAGTTTCTCCTCGGTGCGATGTAGGTCATTGGCCTGCTTGTCGCACAGGACACGCAATCGAGTGGCCTCCTCCCGCAGGGCCGATGCCTCGATCTCGGTGGCCCGGATCTTCATCTGGCAGTTCTCGTTCTGCAGCGAGGCTTCGCGCTCCACGCGGGCCAGAATCTCGCGGTGCCGCTTCTGCTCCTCGGCCAAACGCTCTTCGGCACGCAGTTCCGACTGGAAGATTGAGGAAAACATTAGATATATTAGATATCTCATAAAGTAAATTACGTATCGTACTTTCCCATAGTCCTAACAAAATACATTAACAATTTTTAGATAATATGAAAAATATAGTCTTGTGTTAAGAGACTTTTGAAACATTCTTAAACCAAAAGAACAAATTTTGTATTTGTTTTATAATTATCCGCTATTATTTCTTGTTATCTACCCTTCTATTAAAACCCCTTCTATGATAACCCCTTTTATTAAAAAACTTTTTCTGAATACAAAAACAAATTAAATCCATATTAGCAAAGTGTCTAAAATTTGACTAGTGTTTGATGTGATTTGGAAAGAGTACTCTTTGATTGAAAGCGTTTACTTAAAAGTCAAGATAATCTTGAGACACACTTTATGAGTCGGTATTTTCTCATAACAGAAAAATATTTAATAAACCTTTAAACTAACCTCTCGGTACTGCTCCTCGAGCATGTGATATCTGGCCTGGAGCACAGCATATTCGGTCTTGGTGCGGGTCGTGCGATCTTCAGCTATATTCTGCGTATCCGACAGATCGTCCACCTTGCGCTGCAGCAGTTCCAGCTGTAAATATATATAAAAAGAGAGAGAAACTGATAAGTCTATATTCGAATACAGAGGTTCGTGTATCGACTAACACAATCGTTTTTCATGTGCCGCAGATCGAGGAGCAGATCGTTCACCAACTGCACATCAGCCATGGGGTATTTCACATACATTTGCCTATATCTATATGGTGTGCAACTTTGTATATATTTTCGTTTATATATCTTTTTCACATTATTCAGGAATGCTCATCTCTTGCAGGCTTAAGAAAAATTCAAATTATTTCTGCATCGCCGCGTAGTCTTTGCTCATTTGATGGTCGAAGCAGACTGTTCGTCAGTTCGTTTATATTTTCTCAATGCGACAACGACAACTCAGTGAAAATGCTGTTAATTACACCAGTCAACACAGGCCAACAATATGTTGATAACAAAACTTATGCCTTCATATTCAACTTTTGGAAAAAACATTCCACTCGAGAAGCTCTTTTAATGCCTTTCCTACACATCTGCCATCCCACTTTGGTTGATCAGTGTGTTATTGGCATGCCTTGCCCATATGAATCTCATAAATATTAAGCATACGCCCCATGGGCCAACACTTGAGCAGAAGGCGTAAAAAGATACGCACACACACTTTGTCAGTGTTTTGCATTCAAGTTTTGGCCAACTATTCGCTGGCATGTGGAAAAATCTGTTTTCGCCATTAAAGATTTGCAGGCTGCTGCTTTTTGCGCAATTAGTCATGACCCGCCCGCGCATTTAAAAAACATATAGGGAATATAAAAACAGATGATTTCAACATGAGTTGGTTGCCTGTTTGAGGTGATAAGAAATGTGCAATATGTCAGCAGTACAGGATGTCGTCGAGCTTTCTTATCAAAGCAACAAAAAACAGGGTGACTATGGGATTTCAAAAAATAGTTTACAAATTATCTTTAATAATTAAAAAAAACATGAAATTTTAATAGATCAATGAAAGTTTTCTTGCAATAATTAAAATATATTCATAACACAGTTTAATTACTGAGTAATTTGATGTTTTATTTTTAAAATATTTATTATTCCTCTACTACTTTAGACACCGATTGCAAAAACCAAAAGTGATTGCCTACCCCTGAATTCATTGTGGGGCTTCGTAAAGCTCATCTAATAATGGACAACACAACGGGATTCCTGCTAATTAAATTTCACCGCCTCTCCCTGATTCCACCCCCACAACCCTGCCAATAGTAATACCCTCAGAAATGTCAATTGAGAAGTTCAATTAGCAGTTACAAGCGGCATTTATTTGGGGTCGGCGCCCAAAGACTGTCAAACTGTGCGGCATAGGGTTCAATTAGGCTTAATTAAATGCAATTTGCTGGCCACAATTCGCAGTTGACCATTTTTGCTGGATTTACAAAGAGTTTGACACTATATATTCGATCGAGATGAGGGCACGGTATAACAATGGACACACGGACACACAATCGACGTCAAAGGCGGCGCGGAAAGTACTGAAAAATGGGCCTAGGGCCCCAGTAAAAACAAACAACAGAGTGCCATAGGAATGGAGAAATGTTCAGAGAGTGAGAAATGTTCGGAGAGAAGAATAAGCCCGCTGAGTCAACCAAAAAAGTACGATATGGCGGGGGTCTCAATTAGGGGCTCGGTATGTGTACAATGAACCATGCCAAAAAACTAAGCATATTATATAGAAACTAGAATTTAAATTAAATGTCTACCGAATTCTTCCGAAAAAAAGTACGGAAAGACCAAAAAGCTGAAAAAAGCAGCAAAAATAAAAGTCGCTTCTCATTCA